ATAAAAATTCAAAGTGGAAAGCAAAAGAATATAAGAGGGGCCTTGAGACGTGACTAATGACTAGAGGAAATGTCGTTTTAGTGCCAGGAATGTCTTTCTTGTTTATTCTGGACCCTATTCGGAAATTGGCATCTTTTGAAATTTGTGTGAAATTGGCAAAATTGCTAAATTCTGACCACTGTACTGGATAGTTGAATTTCATAAATGAGTGGTTTCTTGCACCCATTCGATAGAAAAAATGGAGTTCTAGCGAAATATTCATGTTTTTTGTCGACTAGTACAGTGAAATTGGCCGAAAATGGGGCTCAGTGGGCGAAATCGCCGATGCGTAAACATCACCGAGACCGCTAACTTTGCGAGAGCATAATTCCGTAAGTTTTCTATCAAATTTCAAACTTTTGGTGTCTTTATGATCGGGAAAAGATTCTCTATCTTTTCATAAGAGAAAATAATTTTTTTTTTAAATTTGGCCGACCCTGAGAACGAGTTTCGGAGAGGGCCTGTCGACCCTCAAAGGGTTAATAAGGAGTCGTTCAGGACCCTGTACACAGTGTACGTTAGGCCCATATTGGAGTATGAGGCACCAGTTTGGAACCCACACCTAGCCAAGCATGTAAAGAAACTAGAGAAAGTGCAAAGGTTTGCCACAAGACTAGTCCCAGAGCTAAGAGGTATGTCATACGAGGAGAGGTTAAGGGAAATCAACCTGACGACACTGGAGGACAGGAGAGATAGGGGGGACATGATAACGACTTACAAAATACTGAGAGGAATTGACAAGGTGGACAAAGACAGGATGTTCCAGAGACTGGACACAGCAACAAGGGGACACAGTTGGAAGCTGAAGACACAGATGAATCACAGGGATGTTAGGAAGTATTTCTTCAGCCACAGAGTAGTCAGGAAGTGGAATAGTTTGGGAAGAGATGTAGTGGAGGCAGGATCCATACATAGCTTTAAGCAGAGGTATGATAAAGCTCATGGTTCAGGGAGAGTGACCTAGTGGCGAGCAATGAAGAGGCGGGGCCAGGAGCTTAGACTCGACCCCTGCAACCTCAACTAGGTGAGTGTGCCACACACACACACACACACACACACACAGAGGGAGAGGGAGGGAGGGAGAGAGAGGGAGGGTGAGGGAGAGGGAGAGGGAGGGAGGGAGGGAGGGAGAGAGGGAAAGGGAGGGAGAGGAGGGAGGGGGAGAGAGGGAGGGAGGGGGAGAGAGGGGGGGAGAGGGAGAGAGAGAGAGGGAGAGAGAGAGAGAGAGAGGGGGAGGGAGGGACGGGACGGGACCCTCAGTTATTGGCCATAATCCGTTCCAGAAGGCCAGCCTGAAACCGAAATGGCTGATACCCGAAATAATTATTCCCATAAGAATTAATGTAAATACAATTAATCCGTTCCAGACACCCAAAAATATTCACAAAAAAATACATTTTTTTTTTTACAGATTAATTATAGTTTTACATACACAAAATAATGAGAACTAAATAAAATAAATACATAAACAGTTAAATCAGTATTGCATACCTTTATTGAAGACTGTTGTTGGCTTGTGGAAGATAAGGAGGAGAGTTTATTGTTTGGAAGGGGGATCCCCCCTCCATAAGGACTTCTCAGTATCAAAGCCCTATCTGAGGTTACTTCCCTTCTCTGTCTTTTAATGCCACTAGGACGAGCTTGAGAGTCACTGGACCCCTGCTGCACAAAATATCTGTCGAGAGAGCTCTGTTTCTAGCATCTCCTTAAGATTTCCCTGAAGTGGGACAAGGTTCTGTCACTAAACCTGTTGCAGATGTAGCTTGTTTCAACTTGGTCAGGGTGATATTTCTCAGCAAAAGCTTGCACCCTAGTTCACATTGCCACCAAGGATTACGTTTATGCCTTGGTGTTTTTCGCTCTTCCCCTGTTGAGAGCCTCTATGCAGAAGCGAACATTCCATCCTTATCCGATCGCCGTGATGCCCATTGCCTTTGCTACTATGTATGCTCTCATGATCTCCGCAATCCTTCCATTTATAGAATGGTCACCGATATTAGTAGACATTCTTTATTTGTTTGCCGCCTCTGTTTGCTCCATCCCTTCTCTCTTCGCCTACATTCACTCTTGTCTTCTCTTCAATTACCACCTTTCTATGTTCATGTAGCATCTCACTTTTCCCTACCCCCCTGGAAAGTTCCAGCTGTTTGAGTCTGTTCTTTCTCACTCCCTTGCTCAAAAGCCCAACTGTCTACGGTAGCTTCCCACTCTCTTTTTCTTGACCACTTCCACTCTCATTCTCATGACATTGCAGTGTACACAGATGGCTCTAAGTCTTCTGACGGCATAGGATTCGCAGCAGTGTTTCCGGACAGCGTCGTACGAGGGCATTTACTATCTTCGGCTAGTATTTTTACTGCTGAATTGTATGCCATTCTTGTAGCACTAATCCGTATTGCATCTATGCCTGTGTCATCATTTGTGGTTGTCTCAGACTCCCTTAGTGCTTTACAGGTTATACAGAAATTTGATACACCTCACCCCTTAGTCCTCCGTATCCAACTTTGGCTACACCGCATCTCTACCAAGCATAAAGATGTTGTTTTTTGTTGGGTCCCTGGTCATGTTGACGTACAGGGCAATGAACAAGCAGACACTGCTGCGCAGTCAGCAGTACATGACCTACCAGTTTCATATAGAGGTGTTCCATTTACGGACTATTTTGCTGCAATAGCTACCCACCTTCACACCTGTTGGCAACAACATTGGTCTGCTCTGCTTGGTAACAAACTTCAATCTATTAAACCGAGTATAGGTTACTGGCCGTCTTCTTGTCACCAGTGTCGAGGTTGGGAGACTACTCTCTCCCGTCTTCGCATTGGCCATACTCGTCTTACTCATGGATATCTCATGGAGAGGCTCCCTGCTCCTCTCTGTGAGAATTGTCAGGTTCCATTATCGGTCAGCCACATTCTGTTAGACTGCCCACTTTATCAACGAGCATGCAGAATTTACCTCCAACGTCGTCTTCGCTCCGCTGCTCTCTCTTCACCTTCCCTTCTCACTGATGGACCCACCTTTCATCCGGACTTTCTCATTGACTTTTTGACAACAACTGACTTACTTCACAAACTCTGATGATACCTTCAGCCCTTTCTACCTCAATCTCTTGCTACCCTCTACCCCCGCACTATCCCCTGCCCCGCTGTTTTCTGTAACCTACTGATCATCCCTTCCCCTTTCTGCCGCCCAATACCCTCACTTCCTTCCCTACCCTGCAGCACTGTATAGCCCTTGTGGCTTAGTGCTTCTTTTTTATTATAATAATAATAGTCCACATTGCACAAATCTCCTTAATCTCTGAAGTCACCTTCTTCACTCCCTCTTCCTCCTCCTCTGAAGTAAGTTCCTGAGCTGTGGTCTGTTGCTGTTCCAGATGAAGCTCTTGCAGCTCTTCAGTGGTCCTCCACCAACTCTTCCACATCCTCACCACTAACCTTCAACCCCATGGACTTGCCCAGAGATACAATGGATTTCACAACAGGCATAGGGTCCTCAGGGTCAGCCTCAAACCCTTCAGAATCCCTCTCTTGGACACATTTTGGCCACAATTTTCTACAAGCAGAGTTCAAAGTCCTGAAAGTCACTCCCTCCCAAGCCTTACCTATAAGGCTTATGCAATGGAGGATATTGAAGTGATTCCTCCAGAACTCTCTTAGGGTCAATTCTGTGTCCAAGGTCACTTCAAAGCACCAAGTTTGTAGGATGAGCAGGAGCATTGTCCAGTACCAGGAGGCACTTGTTCCAAGAGGTATTTTTTCATACTCAGGCCAAACACATCATTCACCCACTCTTTGAAAATTTGCCTTGTGACCCATGCATTATTGTTAGCCCTCCACATCACACACAATTTACTCTTCAAAACATTGTGTTTCTTGAACACACTGAGATTTTCAGAGTGATACACCAGTAAAGGCTTCACTTTGAAATCCCCAGTAGCATTAGCACAGAACAAGAGAGTAAGCCTGTCTTTCATAGGCTTGTGTCCAGGCAGGGCCTTGTCCTCCTGCGTAATGTAGGTCCTCTTTGGCATTTTCTTTCACAACAGGCCTGTTTCGTCACAAATGAATACTTGTTGGGGGAGGAATCCTTTAGCCTCTACGTACCTCTTAAATCTTGCACAAATTTTTCAGCCGCACATTTATCTGAACTTGCAGCCTCTCCATGCGTTACCACACTGTGTATGCCACTATGCTTCTTAAATCTCTCAAACCAGCCTTTGCTGGCCCTAAATTCACAAACAGCATCACTTGTTCCAGGCATTTTATTTACAAGATCTGCATACAACTGCTTTGCCTTCTCACAGATCACTGACTCCACAACACTATCTCCCGCTAATTGTTTTTCTCTGATCCACAACAATAATAACTTTTCCATATCTTCCATTGTTGGTGACCTTTGTTTCGTTATCACATTTACTCCTTTTGCAACATCAGCTTCCTTGATTTGTTCTTTGTTTGCCATGATGGAAGTGATGGTAGATTTGTTTTTCCCTTACATCCTGGCAAGTTCCAACACTCACATACCACTCTCAAATTTTTCATTCACTTCTCTCTTATATTCCATCATGTTTCTCACTTTCTTTACCACAGGAACTTTCTTTGGGGCCATGCTTACTTATTTCGCAGTTGCACTTAATAAATAACAAAGAAAAACACTGATTTATAGCGAAATGTTTGGATGAATGAGCAAAAGCTTCCTCATTTGGCCAGCGACACAGCTGCACTGACTCAGGAATACGTGAGCATCACTGGCCGATAAGTATCCAATATGGCCAATAAGTGAAATAACAGCCGATAACCAGATGCCGAAAAACCAGCCAATAAACGAGTTGGCCGATAAGTGGAACGGCCGATGACCGAGGGCTCACTGTATGTTGAAGCAAGTATAGAATATTGTAGTACTGCATTTCAGATTTACTAGTGTAAGTTTGCTAATTAATCTTTCATTTTAATTTACAGTGGAGGGCTTGACACGAACCCTTGTTGACACTGTGCCTCTGCTCACCCAGTGCTAGTGGAAGGCAGTCAGTATCATCATTTCGTTTTACAAAATCCCACCTCATTTATCGTACAGTATATTATTAGAGGTACTATGTCTGTCTTATGTGACATGATCTGTGAGTATTCAAATACATGTACATTGCATATGTAGTGCTGAGTTAATTACATTTTCCTTTAAGTGCACAATACAATAGTCAAGTACTGAAGTTCATTTTCTAAATAAAGCAGTTGAATTAAAGCTCTAACCATTTTCAGTTGAATTCTGTTAAAATTCTCAGTTCTGATTATTACTGCAAGTATATATCTTGTTTTATTGTAAAAAGAATGCAAAATTACAGCTGTAAATTATATGTACTGTACAGTCATTCCTACAAGTTTTGAGGAGAGGGGAGTCAAGTTACGTTCCCAGAGGTTCCACAAAACTAAGAACTGCAAATAATATGCAATTACATCTACATAATTTCTTTTTCAGATTTGGGTTCATTCTGCATTTGAGACCAGTCTCTGTAATACATCATTTAATATGTTCTAATGTGCTTAATACTGGCATTCATAGGAAATCTTAAGGTAGCTTTTAATTTAGGGTATTGGGCCAGTACTATAAATAAAAGTAATTCTACCATAGGAATTAAAGTTTTAAATAATCAAAATCCACAAATACAGAAGGCCATGAATTTGTGGGGATGACTGTACTGTATATGTAATGTTTTAAAAAATGTACTTTTCAAATCATTGTGAAATACATCAGTTAGCTCTCTTGATTAGAAACTGATAATTTTTTCCTTGTAGATAAAAGGTTCTTTTGTCATAGCTTCTCACTTTCTCTCTTGTGACCAAGTATTCAAGTCAGATAACTATATACTATACAGTAACATCGCTGACATTGTATTAACTATTATTTGAAAAAAAAATAAAACTTTCAGAATATGCAGGTAAAAAAAAAAGACTTTTATTCTTTTGTCTTTATTAAAAAATGTAGATTATAATAACAATGTCCGAGGTCAGTTGAGTGGGGTATATTCAGCTGGCCAACAGATTACACAGATGAATTAAAGAAAAGCAGTGAACCAAGTTGTAGGGGAGTTGGCAGTTAGGGGATAGGCTTCCTAGAGTACACTAAGTTTAGGTACACAACCTATTTTGTTAATTAGAATTTATGTGGATTCGTCACATTGAATTAAATCAGAGCTTCATGATACCCTATGTAAAGCAATAGTTTTTTTTTTTTTTTTTTTTTTTTTTTTTAATGCACTGGCCATCTCCCACCAAGGTAGGGTGACCCAAAAGAAGAAACACATTATTTACACATGCCCATCACAAAACATTGAGCCAGTGAATATTAGTTCTTCATGTTAACAGGTTCTTCCTCTTATTTCAGGGTCCCCCCAAAAATTCCTTAAGAGAAATAAGGAACCCAGATTAAGATTAGTATAAGTGATTTTTAAACTTATAAGCCATTTTATCATTCATTATTTTAGTGCAGGAAACAAAACATAAAAATATAAAGTTGAGTTGTTTAGCATACCAGTATTGGCAACGTTACTGTGTTCATGTGCTTGATAGAAGCATAAACAGCAGTGGGAACAAAACATGTGAAGCACTGTGTCTTCCAGACAGCTCTCAATCACTACAGATATCCTAGGCTTCAACATCAGTCAAACAGCATCTTTTATGTGCAACACTAATTACACTGTGATTTATAATTTGCATTTCTTATACTTACACTGGTACTCCAAATAGGAATGCATTGCTACTTTAATGTAATGACATTTTTTTATTACTAATCTGGTATCAGTAATTAATGGAAATAACCTAACCTTAGAATTTTGATATTAGTTCAACTTTATGTAATATTTACTCATAACAGCAACATTGCTAAGAGTATACAAATTCTTTTAAAGTTTCAACTCAATAAAATATTTGAAACTAGCTGATATTTGCATCATATATAACTAAAATTTATATATTTAATTTTGTAATATAAAAATTGGTAACAGTTTTAGCAAATATTAATTTATTTAACAACTCTCAATGAATACAATCTTAATTTCCTTACAATAAATTATTAAAATGAGAACATTCTTTTCAAAAACAATATTCAGAGTCATGTCCATGAGAGGAAAGCACAGGTCAAGTTCCCCACAAATTTGACATTAATAATGGGCCTAAAGTTATTAATTAAATGGCATTGGACAGCAGTTTTTACTATTTACACACATGTTAAAAATGCCCATTATTTTCTCCTACTCATTTTCATTACCTGCTGCTAACATGACCAATTAGAAACTTTTAGTGTACATTATACTATGGACTTTAATAATCATTTTCACTACTTTTAATAGAATTTAACTAAGTTGTCAAAAAGCCTTCTCTCAGGTGGCAAACATTTTTAATATGTAGTACATAGTAATGATAAAAACACAATTCATTAAAAAATAAGACTGATTTTCTCTAAACAGAATTTAGCACTGACTGACCCATACAAGTTTAGTGCTTTTCTTTGTAAATAATATAATCTAAAAAAAATAGGCAACCCCTCTAGATCACAAGTGCTGTAGATTAATATATATTTTGCATAAGAAACAAAGACATTAACCCCTCAAGGGAGGTATGTGTGAAGGGCTCTTGATCCAAGGAATTGGACCTAACCTCTCGTAGACTGAACCTCATTGCCTCCTAATTCCTCAGGTGGCTGTATGACTCTTATGGGTTTAGCACTTGCCCCATGAATGATTACTATACATTTTAAAAACAGCAGTAGCTAAACTGAAACACAAGTCTGGATGAAATAAGGCTGTAAAGCTATATACCATTGTACTAAATTGTCTCAATAGTAATATCAGATTGAATTAGAAACATTTTAAATATTTTTTAAAAAGTTATAATTTTTCTATTCTACATTCGACTAGTATTTGCGTTATGACACAACCGATATCAAACACAATAATATCGGAATGTTATTCTTTCGTAATATCAGAAATAATGTAAATTGCAACATATCACATGTTAGGTAAGGAGCACCATTCATGTTTAGTGTGATTACAGAGGCACAATTGGGTAGCAAAACTTCAGAGTTATCTTGGTGGCATTAGTGTGTTTACAAATACCTGTTAGATACCACACCAAGGTGAATTTTCCCAAGCAATTACACTAATTATTGTAGCTTGTGTATAATCAGTTCGTTCACAGACCTAATGTATAATGTTCTTAGGTTTACATATGAGAAATTTGTTAAAGTATGTGCAGGCACTTTTTCATGCACACTATGCCACCTCCACAGCCTATTTTTTTTTCTTTAAAAAAAAAAAATGTCACTGCTATATTTCTGTCTGGCGGGACATAAAGAATGTTGGTGCAGGAATGCGAGACCCGACACCAGACTTTCTCGGTGCAACCTTGAGAGAACTAGTGGGGCTGGTAGTACCAACATTTAAATTTATTTTTGGATCTAAACTCTGACTTCCGCTACTAGATACATGTGCATTTACCCAGGAAGATGTATATTCTTGAGCTAGTTCTGGTGGCAGTGACTTACCTTCTGCTGCTAAGCTCTCACACACTTTTGCCCTAAGTGAGTCATATATGTCTTTAATGCAGAGGAGAGTATTCTCATCTGGTTCAAGATCAGCAAGCTGTTTAAGCACTGGGCCACTAGTAGTTGGTGATGCGAGAGTGGATCCTGGTGCTGAACGCTTTGGTGATCGATTTAAGGGTGTGGCTGGGGCTGAATGCCCAAAATGTCGACGTGTGGTTGCTGGAGATGCAGACGCTGAACGTACAGTGCGAGGGGTTGGTGGTTTATAGGTATCTGCTGTGAGGCGTGGCTGTTCCCGTGAAGCTCTGCCATTCCAAGTATTTTTATCTTGTGGTCCACCAGAGAGAGATGGTCGCCTTGCTGTTGGTCTGTGGGACATACGTGAAGGAGATTCTCTGCCTAGCATCATTAATCCACCCTCACTAGTAGCACTTCGACTGCGACTTATAACACGACTCCCACGATCCTCACTATTCCGACGCAATCCAGGTCCTGAATTCCAAGCAGGTTTTGATGGGGATTTTTCTTCAGGAAGCGAAGTTTTCTTTGATTTCTTACTACCCATAAATGGGCCCTTTAGAGAATCAATGAAAGGTATTTTTGATTTAGGTATATTGCTGGAATTCTTATGTTTACTTTGTGAAGGTGGTGACCAAGTATTGGTAGCATCTGCTAGTGGGTAATGAGGAGTGGCAATGGCGTTTGTTGGAGAACGTGGAGGAGTGTTAACTGACTCCTCTGTTGACATGGATGATCCCTCTGAGGACATTTGTGTCATGGATGATTCTGGCCGTTCTGTAGGATAAGAAAATAAAAAATTATTTATGGTACAGGAAAAAATCAATGTACTGTACAACTATACATGGCTCTGCATTGTGTAAATTAACAATACAGTGGACCCCCGGTTAACGATATTTTTTCACTCCAGAAGTATGTTCAGATGCCAGTACTGACCGAATTTGCTCCCATAAGGAATATTGTGAAGTAGATTAGTCCATTTCAGACCCCCAAACAAACACGTTCAAACGCACTTACATAAATACACACACTTACATATTTGGTCGCATTCGGAGGTGATCGTTATGCAGGGGTCCACTGTACATTATTTCTGTGTCTTCTAGTAAAGCATTTCTAATGTTTATTCAAAGCTAACCTTCACACCCACCCTGACACTCGCTCTCACACACCTGCACACCCTCTCTTCCATTCTGTTTGCCCTTCCTGCACTGTTCTACATACAGGTTACCATGTTCTTTGTGTCCTGTAGTGTCTAGAACCAACCATCATGGAAAAATAAATCTCACAATTAGGAAATAGATAACAGTAACGTACACCCTTTCCCCCATTAAATCATTCATTATAGTGCATGCGAGCTAGTTACCAGTTGTCAAAGGCACTTGTTGTTAGATACTTGGCCTGATTTAGGCATGCGTGTACATTGTGTGTGTGTGTGTGTGCGCGCGCGCATACATTTTTTTTTTTTTTTTTTACACACTGGCCATCTTCCACAGAGGCAGGGTAACCTGAAAAAAGAAACACTTTCACCATTATTCACACTATCTTGCCAGAGGCACACACATACGACAGTTTACATGTCACTCTAAACAGCAAATATCCCAAACCCATGTACAACATATGGGTATCTTTATTGTAGACGTTTTGCCATCCAATGGCTTTATCAATATAAATTCTAGGATATAATGTAAAGACAGAACTATATGCAAAAGATGAGGTAATCAGTCCCTCAGCCTTGGAGTTGGTGTGAAGAGCACTGTAGTCATGAAGATTGTGGAGCACAGGCAAGAAAGCTGATGCTTATATACTAACGTCAGGTGGAAAGGAATGGGTAGCAGATGAGGGCATAGTCACTGGTAGGCGGGATCCCCCAGTGGAAATTGGTCATACCCAAAAGGATGGGTTAGTTGTTGTAGTAGTAGTATTGTATACCATTCTTGTACAATATCCCAAACCCCCTCCTTTAGAATGCAGGCACTGTACTTCCCACCTCCAGGACTCAAGTCTGGCTAAATAGTTTCCCTAAATCCCTTCACAAAATATTACCCTGCTCACACTCCAACACCTCGTCAAGTCCCAAAAACCATTCGTCTCCACTCATTCTTATCTAAGATGCTCACCCATGCTTGCTGTATGTCCAAGCCCCTTGCACACAAAACCTCCTCTACCCCCTCCATCCCTCCATATTTTTTCCTAGGACGACCCCTACCCCACCTTCCCTCCACCACAGATTTATATACCCATCCTATTTTGTTCCATCCTCTCTTAATAACCAAACCACCACAACAACCCCTCCTCAGCCCTCTGAATAATACTTTTAGTAACTCCACACCTCCTATGACTTCTCTGCATAATATTTATGCCACACATTGCCCTAAGACACGACATCTCCACTGCCTCCAGCCGCCGCCTCCTCTGCAACATTCGCAACCCATGCTTGACACCCATATAAGATTGTTGATACCACTATATTCATACATTCCCTTCTTTGTCTCCACAGATACCTCAATCCACCACCCACCTTTTTCCCTTCATCAATTCTATGGTTAACCTCTCCCTTCATAAACCCATCCGCTGACAAGTCTGCTCCCAAATATCTGAACACATTTGCTTTTTCCACACTCCTTCCTTCCAATCTGATATCCAGATTTTCTTTACCTAACTCTGATAATCTCATCACTTTACCCTTATCTATGTTCGCTTTCAACTTCCTTCCTGTACACACTCTCCCAAACTAGTCTCTTAACCTTTGTAACTTCTCTTCAGAATCTTCCAAGAGCAAAGAATCATCAGCAGAAATTATGTGTCACCTCCTAATTTGTATTTGATGGTTCTTTCTCCTATATACCTTAATTTGAGCGTCATTATCCTCAAAAACGCTTTACAGCATTTAGTAACTTACGACCTATTCCCTACACTTGCAACATCTTTCACACTGCTTCTCTATCCACACTATCATATGCCTTTTCTAAATCCATAAAAGCAATGAAAACTTCTCTACTGTTATCCAAATATTGTTCACTAATATGCTTCAATCTAAACACTTGGTCTACACATCCCCTACCCATTCTAAAGCCTCCTTGTTCATCTACAAGCCTGCTCTCCATCTTACTTCTTAATTCGTTTAATAATATCTCTACCATACACTTCACCTGGTATGCTCAGTAGGCTTATTCCCCTATAATTTTTACAGTCTCTTTTGTTCCCCTTCCTTTCATATAAAGAGCTATGCATGCTTTCTACCAGTCCCTAGGTACCTTTCCCTCTTTCATGCATTTATTGAACAAAAGTACCAACCACTTCAAACTATATCCCCCCCCCCTCCCCTACTTTTAACATTTCTGTCAGGATCCTATCAATTCCAGCTGCTTTACTCCCTTTCATATTACCCAATACCTCATGCACCTCCTCTACACTCACATCTGCCTCTTCTTCACTCCTAAAAGATGTACCTCCCTGATCAGTGCATGAAATTACTGCCTCCCTCTCTTCTTTCTTTCAACACATTGGCCATATCCCACCGAGGCAGGGTGGCCCAAAAGGAAAAATGAAAGTTTCTCCTTTTACATTTAGTAATATATACAGGAGAAGGGGTTACTAGCCCCTTGCTCCTGGCATTTTAGTCACCTCTTACAACATGCATGGCTTACGGAGGAAGAATTCTGTTCTACTTCCCCATGGAGGTAAGAGGAAATAAATAAGAACAAGAACTAGAAAGAAAATATAAGAAAACCCAGAGGGGTGTGTATAGTTATGCTTGTACATGTATGTGTAGTGTGACCTAAGTGTAAGTAGAAGTAGCAAGACGTACCTGAAATCTTGCATGTGTATGAGACAGAAAAAAAAAGACGCCAGCAATCCTACCATCGTGTAAAACAATTACAGGCTTCCGTTTTACACTCACTTGGCAGGACAGTAGTACCTCCCTGGGCGGTTGCTGTCTACTAACTTCCCTACTCTGTTTTTAACTGTCAAATCCATTTGTTTCCTAGGCTTTCTCAACCTATTTATCTCTCTCTAAAACTTTTTTTTATTCACAGCAAAATTTGTTGACAGCCCTTCACTCACTCTACTGCTCTCTTTTTACACTCCCTCACCTCTCTCTTACTCGCCACCTACTCCACCTTTCTTATATCACTTCTGCTTTGTAAAAAAAAAAAAAAAACTTTCTTTTTTCTCCCTCATCACACCTGTGGTAAATTACATTTACCTGGATGAATCTCATTACATACATACAAATAAATGGTAACAAAGATAATTATTATTTATCAAAGTTACAGAGACAAGTAGGAATTTTTAGGACACTTAGGTCGCAAAAATGTCCCCCTTCGATACCTACCATCTATCTCTCCACAAGTTGCTCTAGGCCTATATTAATTGCAAATGAATTGTACATACACACCAGGAATTCTGGTAAAATTATTATAATTTTTGTGGACTGTATATTAAATTTAATAAATGATTACATATACACATTTATATAACAGAAGGAGAATTTATAATCATAACACTCACCAATTTGTCTGGAAATTACTGTGTATCATACTCAAAAACCCCCCTGTCTACATTTATGATAATACTGGCCAGAACTATAAACATAAATATAGACATGACTTAGCTGGGGGTAATATTCTGTTTTCATCTAATTATGGAGTCCTGCCCAGTCGCCTGATTCTCTCGTTATGCAGGACTGCAATTCCAACAATTTTGGCTCCTATTTGAGAGGTGTAAGCCCAATATAACCTCTAGAGCGACAAAAATTCTTCTCATTTTCACTAACGTTTTCTTGGCTCATTCAAAAAACATGGCGACTCTTCCCTGCTCGACTGTGCAGGTGCCGAGCTTCCCATTTTTTATAATATAATTTTTATTAAATACAATATATTTTATTAATTTACGTACAAATACACTATTTTCGGAAAATATACTATATATTTTCCACAACACCCTTTACCTCATCATTCCAGCAATCACTCCTCTTTCCTCCCACACCCACCCTCCTATATCTTCTGCCCCACATTCTAACATTGCATTTTCTAAAACTATCCCACCCCTTTTCAACCCCCCACACTACCTATACTCTCACTAGCCCACCTTTCTACCAATAGTTGCTTATATATCACCCTAACTTCCTCCTTCCTTAGTTTATAAGCTTTCACCACTGTCTTGCTAGAGACAGTAGCCTGGCTGGTTACCATACCTACCACAACTGATTTCTTACAATAAATACTACTCATCTCACTCTACATTAAAACTACAAATATTTTAAGGTAAGCAGTGAGTGTACTATATGCATATTTTACTTTTTTATTGTTTTTTTTAATGCATAGTTCTATTGCTAACTTAATATATATTAGTGTAAACTTGTTATCTAGTATTTATATGCATTTATGAGTGGAAAAGAAATGGCGTTCCACTTTACGGAGGTAGCCTGGACAGCCATATAAGTGGGGCCCTTCTGTAATTAGTATGTAAAGCATAACCAATAATAGCATATTGATCTTGTCAGTGCTATGTAATAACCCATGTAATAAGTTGGTCTGTATATTTCAACCCCTAACTGAAGTCCTCTTTAGAGACTGAAAAAAAAAAAGTGAGAAAGTAACATGTTTCTATAGTGAGAAACTGTAAACACCTCAGGTGAAAATCTGTTCATACTGAGGTGTTACAGTGTGGTGTAGTACCACTGAGAGTCATTTTTATGTTTATCTGTCCCTGCACAGAAATCTTAATAATGGTGAAGGTATACAGGTTCAAGGAATTGGAACCATCCACCCTTTCCAAAAATGCTATGTGATCTGTATGAGTTTAGCACTCCTCTGTAAAATAGGATACAATAAAATGTTTGTAGCTACAATCTCATGTGTGTGATGGCAGATGCTTGCCATGGCATACAGTAGGACTCCATATCCGTGGATCCTGTTTCCGAGGTTTCAGTTATCCGTGATTTACTGTGGCCTGAAAATTTGCTTAATAATGACACCAGACCCTGTATCCATGGTCCTGTTTCCAATGTTTCAGTTATCCATGGTTTACCATGGCCCGAAAATAAGACTTAATTTTGCTTAATAATGACACCAAGGTGCAAAAGTAATAATGATGGCAGTTCTTCAAAACCTAAGAGAAGCCTTAAAGTGCTTCCCATCAGTGAAAAAGTGCTAATTCTAGACTTATTATGTGTAATTTATCAATTAAACTTTATCATAGGTATGTGTGTAAACAAAAAACGACTTATATACAGTGGACCCCCGGTTAACGATATTTTTTCACTCCAGAAGTATGTTCAGGTGCCAGTACTGACCGAATTTGTTCCCATAAGGAATATTGTGAAGTAGATTAGTCCATTTCAGACCCCCAAACATACACGTACAAATGCACTTACATAAATACACTTACATAATTGGTCGCATTCGGAGGTGATCGTTATGCGGGGGTCCACTGTATAGGGTTTGCTACTATCTGCAGTTTTGGTATTTGCAGCAGGTCCTGGGGATATGGGGGGTCCCTCAGATGTGGGGGTCCTATTGTACTGTGATCTTTACTATAGACTTTGAAAGAGAGCTGAGTTCTCTTGCCTATACTAAACTGTGCACATGTGTTCACTGATCTTAGTTGCTACAAACAATTCCATATTGCAATCTTTGCATGGGATCTGATTAACTGGAACTCACTGAATGTGAATGGCACGAATGAACCATTCATGAAAATGAGTGGGCCACTTAGTAACTGTGAGCAGGCCACTTAGTGCTGAATGCCTGAGGTCAAGCAGAGGCTCTTCAAAATTATTGGACCCATTGGATCTGAGTCACAGAATGGACTTGGATCATAGCACACCTGCACACACCAGTAGCTGCATGAACCTCATCTTAATTACACAACCCACGTACAGTGCTGCCTTTAGAATATAAAAGTAATAATTACCTATCATCTCAGTTGTATCCATATCAAGATTTTTCTTGGGTGTTGGTTTGCGCGTTCTTGGTAATGAGCGTGAAGCAGTGTTGCCTTGACTTTTGTAGCCCTCATCACTAACTTCCGAGGAGTCATCACGCCACGCTGCTTGCTCATCTCGAAAGCTGCATGATGGTCCCCATTTTCCAGAAGTGAATCTGTAATACAAAGTATGAATAAATATGTGTGCACGTCTGCCTGTCTGTATACACATTAGATATCTTTCAACAAACCAGCCGTATCCCACTGAGGCAGTGCAGCTCAAAAGGAAAAACAAAAGCTTCTCCTTTTAAATTTAGTAATATATACAGGAGATGGAGTTACTAGCCCCTTGCTCTGTATATAGGTAGTAAGTTACTATGTGCTGTACAGAGTTTTTATAAGGATAGTGAGGTTCAGGTTAGGGTATGTAGGAGGATTACTTACCAGTAAAAGTAGGTCATAGACAGGGATGTATAATGTGACAATGGTTAACATATTTATAGATGGGGTCATAAAAGCAGTAAACGCTAGGGCATTGGGGACAAGGGTGGGATTAAATTATGGGGAATCAAATACAAAATGGGAGTTGACACAGTTACTTTTTGCTGATGATACTGTGCTTTTGCGAGATTAAAGAAAAGTTGCAAAGGTTAGTGAATGAGTCTGGGTGTGTAAAGGTAGAAAGTTGAAAGTGAACGCAGATAAGAGTAAGGTGATGAGGGTAACAAACTATTTAGATAAAATTAGATATCACATTGGAGGGAGGGAGTATGGAAGAAGTGAATGTCTTCAGATATTTTGGAGATGACTTGTCAGCAGATTGGTTTATGAAGTATGAGGTTAACCATAGAATTGATGAAGAAAAAAAAGGTGAGTGGTGCTTTGAGGTATTTGTGGAGACAGAAAAAAAAAATTTATCCATGGAGCCAAAGAAGGGAATATATGAGAGTGTAGTGGTACCAACACTCTTATATGGGTGTGAAGCATGGATTGTAAATGCTGCAGCGAGGAGGCAGCTGGAGGCAGTGGAGATGTCATGTCTAAGGGCAATGTGTGGTATAAATATTATGAAGTGTGGAAATTAGAATGAGGTGTGGAGTTAATAAAAGTATTAGTCAGAGGGGTTGTTGAGGTGGTTTGGTCATTTAGAGAGGATGGAACAAAGTAGAATGACTTGGAGAGCATATAAATTAGTAGGGGAAGGAAGGCGAGGTAGGGGTTGTTCTAGGAAAGGGTGGAGGGATGAGGTAAAGGAGGTTTTGTGGGCGAGGGGCTCGGACTTCCAGCAAGCGTGCATGAGTGTGTTAGATGGGAGTGAATGGAGACGAATGGTTTTTGGGGACCTGACGAGCTGCTGGAGTGTAAGCAGGGTAATATTTTGTGAAGGGATTCAGGGAAACTGCTTACCCAGACTTGAGTCCTGGAAATGCCTGCCATTTAAAGGAGGAGTTTGGGATATTGGCAGTTTGGAGGGACATCTAAGCTGTCGTATCTGGGTGCCTCTACAAAGACAGTGATTGTGTATGAGTGCAGGTGAAAGTGTTGAAAGATGAAAATTTTTTCTTTCTTTTTGGGTCACCCTGCTTCTCTGGGAAACGGCGGAGTAGGGGTCATCCTTGAAAAGGTTGGAAGGAAGGGATAAGGGAGGTTTTGTGGGTGAGGGGCTTGGACTTCCAGCAGGCGTGCATGAGCATGTTCGATAGGAGTGAATGGAGACGAATGGTATTTGGGACCTGACGNAATCTGTTGGAGTGTGAGCAGGGTAATATTATAGTGAAAGGGATTCAGGGAAACCAGTTATTTTTATATAGCTGGACTTGAGTCCTGGAAATGGGAAGTACAATGCCTGCACTCTAGAGGAGGGGTTTTGGGATATGTTGTGTATCTTTATACGTATATGCTTCTAAACTGTTATGTTCTGAGCATCCCTGCAAAAACAGTGATTATATATGAAGTGAGGTGAAAGTGTGTTGAATAATGATGAAAGTATTTTCTTTTGGGGATTTTCTTTCTTTTGGTGACCCTGCCTCGTGGGAGACGGCCGACTTGTTGAAAAATATATAATATATATAAATATATATATAAATATATATATTTATATATATATATATATATATATATTATATATATATAAATATATATATATATATATAATTTTCAACAATCGGCCGTCTCCCACCGAGGCAGGTGACCAAAAAAGAAAGAAAAATCCCCAAAAGGAAAATACTTTCATCATCATTAACACTTTCACCACACTCGCACATTATCACTGTTTTGCAGAGGTGCAACAAGAATAAACAACAGTCTAGAAGCATATTACCCATATAAAGATACCAACATATCCCCTCCAAACTGCCAATATCCCAAAACCCCTCCTTTAAAAAGTGCAGGCATTTGTACTTCCCATTTCCCAGACTCAATTCCGACTATATAAAATAACCGTTTCCCTGAATCCCTTCACTAAATATTACCCTGCTCACACTCCAACAAGATCGTCAGTCCCAAGTACCATACGTCTCCATTCACTCCTATCTAAACACGCTCACGCACGCTTGCTGGAAGTCCAAGCCCCTTACCCCACAAAACCTCCTTTACCCCCTCTCTTACCAACCCTTTTCGAGGACGACCCCTACCCCGCCTCCTTCCCCTATAGTTTATAGCTTATCATGTCATTCTAACTTTGATCCATTCTCCTAAATGACCAAACCACCTCAACAAACCCCTCTTCTGCCCTCTGACTATACTTTTATTAACTCCCACCTTCTCCTAATTTCCACACTCCGAAATTTCTGCATAATATTTTACACCACACATTGCCCTTAAACAGGACATCTCCACTGCCCCCCTCTAAACGTCTCCTCGCTGCTGCATTTACCACCCAAGCTTCACAACCTACAAGAGTGTTGGACTACTATAACTTTCAACGTTCCCTTCTTTGCCTCCATAGATAACGTTTTTTGACTCCACATATACCTCAAAACCGCACCACATCACCTTTATTTTTCCTCACATTCTATGTTAACCCTCATCCTTCATAAATCCATCCGCCGACACGTCAACTCCCAAGTATCTGAAAACATTCCCACTTCTCCATACTCCTCCTCCTCCAATTTGATATCCAATTTTTTCTTTATCCTAAATCATTGACACCCTCATCACCTTAACTTTTCTATGTTCACTATCAATCATTTCTACCTTTTAACACACATTCCCAACTCATCACTAAACCTTTGCAATTTTTTCTTTAGAAAATCTCCCATAAGCACAGTATCATCAGGCAAAAGTAACTGTGTCAATTCCCATTTTGAATTTGATTCCCATAATTTAAATCCCCCCCTCTCTCCAAACACCCTAGCCATTTACTTCCTTAACAACCCCATCTATAAATATATTTAAACAACCATGGTGACATTACAGCATCCCTGACTAAGACCTACTTTTACCGGGAAGTATTCTCCCCCTCTTCTTCAACACACCCTAACCTAGCTCACTATCCTCAAAAACACTCTTTACCAGCATTTAAATATCTTACCACCAATTCCATATACTTGCAACATCTGCCCACATTGCTCCTCTATCCAACTCTATCATATGCCTTTTCTAAATCCAATAAATGCAATAAAAACCTTCCCAATCTTTATCTAAAATACTGTTCACATATGCTTCAATGTAACACCGATCCACACATCCCCTACCCACTCTAAAACCAGACCTTCCATCCGCAATCCAAGATTCGGTCTACCTCTAATTCTTTTCATATAACCCTACGTAACACTTTTCCTGGTATACTCCAGTAAGCTAATTCCTCTATAATTTTTACAGTCTCTTTTGTTCCCTTTTCCCTTTTAAATAAAGGGACTATACATGCTCTCTGCCAATATATATATATATATATATATATATATATATATATATATAATATATATAATATATATATATATATATATATATATTATGTCATGCCGAATATGTAAAACTGGTCAATTAGCAGCCGTATCCCACCGAGGTGGGGTGGCAAAAAAGGAAAAACGAAAGTTTCTCCTTTCAAATTTAGTAATATATACAGGAGAAGGGGTTACTAGCCCCTTTGCTCCCGGCATTTCAGTCGCCTCTTATGACACACATGGCTTAGGGAGGAAGAATTCTGTTACACTTCCCCATGGATATAAGAGGAAATAAACAAGAACAAGAACTAGAAAGAAAATAGCAGAAAACCCAGAGGGGTGTGTTTATATATATGTGTTTATATATATGCAGAGAGCATGCATAGTTCCTTTGTATAAAGGCAAAGGGGATAAAAGAGAGTGCAAAAATTATAGGGGGATAAGTCTGTTGAGTGTACCTGGTAAAGTGTATGGTAGAGTTATAATTGAAAGAATTAAGAGTAAGACGGAGAATAGGATAGCAGATGAACAAGGAGGCTTTAGGAAAGGTAGGGGGTGTAGTGGACCAGGGTTTACATTGACACAAATACGTGAACCAGTATTATAGATAAGGCTAAAGAGGTCTTTGGCATTTATGGATTTGGAAAAGGGCGTATGACAGGGTGGATAGGGGGCAATGTGGCAGATGTTGCAATGTATGGTGTAGGAGGTAGGTTTCTGAAAGCAGTGAAGAGTTCTTACGAGGATAGATGAGGCTCAAGTTTAGAAGTATGTAGGAAAGAGGGAAATTTGTTCCCAGTAAAAGTAGGGCCTTAGACAAGGATGTGTGATGTCACCGTGGTTGTTCAATATATTTATAGATGGGGATTTGAAAGAAAGTAAATCGAGGGTCCAAGGCAAAGGCGTGGAGTTAAAAGATAAAAGAATCACACACAAAGTAGGATTGACACAGCTGCTCTTTGCTGAGACACAGTGCTCTTGGGAGATTCTGAAGAGAAGTTACAGAGATAGGTGGATGAATTTGGTAGGGTGTGCAAAAGACAAATTAAAGGTGAATACAGAAAAGTAAGGTTATAGGAAACCAAAGATTAGGATGATGAAAGAATGAAATATCAGATTGGAGGGAGAGAGTAATGGAGGAGGTGAAAACCGTTTCCATATTGGAGTGAAAACGTGTCACAATGGTCTATGAAAAGATGAGTGAATCATAGAATTGATGAGGGAAAAAGAGTGAGTGGCACATATGGAGTCTGTGGAGACAAAGAACTTTGTCCTTGGAGGCAAAGAGGGGA